CTTAAAAAACCTTAAATCTTAATATAAAAAAAAATTTGATATTTTGTGTACAAAATCCTTGTAATGTTTACTGAAAATCTGCAAAATTTCGTTAAGATATGCTACTAATTTAAAAGTTGTAACATGAAAACTATAACAAGCACAAAATGGGTACAAGATCAGTCTGTGGGACCGATCCCATGCTGAAAGATTTGAATAGCCTGTAACCCTGTATTTCAAAGACATTTCTGTCATCAAGATCATCTGGGTTTCACCATGTTTCAGTTATTCTCATTATATCAAAATCCTCCATTCCTACCCTACCAGTGCCTTAAAGTAATCTGTTTTATTTATTATACTTCTAGCATTACAATAATAACAATTAAGCCTACCCCTATGACTACTTCTATGTTCATTTCCTATGCTAAACTTTTCTCATCCTCTTATTCTTTTTGCATTTAGTTTATCTTGGCGTTCACCACAGTCTAGTCCTAGTTTAAAACTTCTCTTATAGCAAACAAGGCAGCCCCTATCTTATTTAAATGTAATCCAACCATTCCAAAAAGCTCCCTTCTTCCACTGAACTGACCCCACAAGTCCAACCAGCCAATCTCTCATTTTTACATACTAATTTAAGCCTAGCATTTAGCCCCTATGTGTACTACAAAGTCTGAATCACTTGCTCAGTTAGTTATATGCTCCATACTAAAGAATCGCCTATAGCAATAACCACCTTATGTTTTTCATTCCCATCCCTATCTGTCCCTTTTGTTATCCTTCCATCCTAAAGTTAATCTGCTCAAGCTAAAGGCTGAAATCTGTTACTTATTGGAACCTGTTCATTATAATTAAATTCAGTACTATTAGCTCTGTTAGTATTATTTTTAACTTTCTGAAAGTCAGCACATTCTTTAAATGCTGAATTGGCTAAATTAAACAAGACAAAACTGGGGCCAAGTTGGCTGCTCCTTTTTCAGTGCAACATGAACACACACACACACACACACAAAAGATAGTATTGCTTTAGTTGTGCCATGTTGAATTTAGCCATTTTAACATTACATATTTACATAGCTTGGCAATTTCTATAATATAACTTTTTTAAAACCTTTTCACTGCAGCTGGAACATATATTATCCAGTACACTGGGAAATATATGTTCCAGCTGCAGTAAATGGGTTAACTCTCTCAATATGGGCTTGGTCAGTTTGACTGACCATGTGATCTCTTTGTACTTGTTCAAAGCCTGTATACATTTGATATTACTAACTTTTAATATAGTGTGTATATCTTAATGAAATTTAGCAGCCTTTCACATACAAAAAAAAAAGATTTGTCTGTGAATATATTGAGTATTTGTTTTGAATAGTCCGTGTGCAAAGT